GAAAATCTTACAGTAATATTATCAACGTTTGCGTCAACTATGTCGATGATAAAATAGACGAATTATTTATTTGCAAAAATTCAAGACTAAAATTAATAAATTTGACCGAAATTTTTGTACTGCTAAATATCTGAATTCCGGTCAAATCATAATTCTTACCAGAATTAAATACTAACCGTAAAAAAAAATGATTGCCTTAACCGGTTCATAGCATTAAATCTTTTAATTTCATGCACATCATATTTTAACGAGCGTATTTAAATTAAGATTTTCGTGTTCGCACATTATTTACCATAATTATGATACTAATAATTTCACCACAAAAAATCATATGCCAAGGAATAACATAAATAACATAAAAGTGTGTTAAATTTACTTCCCAAATATGTAAACTGAAAACTTTTAAATAGGTAGAAGATTTCCAAAATCTTTATCATTATTTGTTCATAACCCGAAATTAAAGATCACCTGATCAACAACCCCCGATTCTTTTATCGGCAAAAAAGAAGACATTCTTAATTAAACAAAAGTAAGACATATTGGGAAATAGAGAAAACTTTATACATATACATAAATTGAAATTACAGTAAAGAAATTTTAATGATTTATATATATGTAATGAAGAATCAAAATGAGAAAATTGAGAAGCCTTCCTTTATATTCTTATTGCATATGGGTCTTATTTGTATGCGGAATAACTTATTTACGGTAGAAAATCAATCTTTTTTTTTGTTGATCCAATTGACAAACATTAATTTCCGATGGATCGTGGATAAACTATTTCACGTTTTAATATAAAATTTCTATGTAAGAAAACGATCGTTAATTTAATGATTAAATAAAGTAAAAAAACGAATTATAAAAAAAAATATGAATAATAGATAATAAAATATACAATGATAAGCTATTAGAGTAACTATACGAAAAAGTAAATATTTTGGCATTATTTGATAATGTGAAAAGTATGAATTGAGTCTATAAAGAATTTCTCTCAAAATTGCGTGTACATTTTAGATTTCGATTATAAACGACAGAATAATATTATTTTATGCTTTGAATGTTATCTATGGCATTTGACATTATGTAATATTAGAAATAAGGCTGTTGTTATCAATATTTAAAGAATGTTTACGTTTCTATAAATTTTAAAAGAATACAAATAAAAAATTTTTTTTCGAATTAGAAGAGAAACAAATCCTAAGTATATGAAAAGTATGATTTGACCGAACGACATTAGAAGATAAACTGCGGACTATAATAATATAAATTAATATTAACACACGGATTCTCATGTGTATTAACCTTCCTACCTGTATCATTTAGCTATTATTACCGAAATAAGGTTTAGTAGAAAGCATACCCGTTAAAAAATTGATCTAAAAATTGATTATTATTATTTATAATTTGCTGTGGAAGGTTTGCTATTCGATTTAACGTGTCATGGTTGTTGAATTGAACGCGACTCTGAAGATTTCTTCGACGTATTACTCTATTTATTCTTGTAATTTGTCTTCGTTGATTTTGTCTTCTTTGATACATTTCGTATATTATTAGTTATAAGGTAAAAAAAATTTTATGTGCAAGGAGAAAATATCCTTTAACGTATTATTTATATGAAATAAAATTCATATTTTGATGTAAATGTCTTATGTAACAACTTATTACTAATTATAATAATAATTTAATCTACAGGTAAGCTAAATTCAAAATTAAGGATTCCTTATAAAGAATTTATATAGAGATTACATTTAAAAAAAAAGATTGAATTTATAATCATAATAAGATTATATCGTTTTTTAAGTTAATTACCAATTACATGCTTAGATAAATAATTAAAAGTGATAACGGGTTCAACTAATTGTGTTAACAAAGAATTTCGTGGAATAAACGCGAATGAATTTTATTTAGTTAAATCTCACATCTTAATTTTTACTCGTTAATATTATGAGAAAAATTCTTTTTTCCCCAAAATGATTATTATTAAATATATTTGATCATTTCGAATGAAAATATATTATATTAGTAAGCGTCATATCTCTAATAAATAATGAAATTGTTAAAAGGATTGAATTTTTATTTTATTAAATACTAATCAAATATACAGTTTAACAGAAATCATAATTTATAATATATAATAAGATTTATAATGTGTTGTTAATAATTTTTGGAAAACAAATGATGATTTTATTTGTCAGTGTTAATAAAATGGAAGTATTTTATTAATAATGAAAACGAGAGAAACTTGGCGTTTAATTAATATTGTGCTACAGCAACATTTTCAAATTACACTGAGCAAGTCTCCGAAAATTTTCAGCGGATAAATTTGTAAGAAATATATATATATACTGTATATATATATATCAAGACTGCTCAATATCTTTATATAAACATGATAATTCTTAAATGTAAATTTTACAAACTTGATATTCATTATTTACCAATAAAATTTTGAGATGCTGCATAAAACTCAACGTAATCACGCATGAAATTTACGGATAAATTTACTTAGTTAGAATTATGATTAAGTATTATTATTTATTTATTTTTTTAAAAAAAAAAAAGCATATTATCAAAGGTTGTTCGAATATTGAGTCATCAATAGAGTATATTTATATTTTAATCCGACTTCCTCAAACGTGTTAAATAATAATGTAACTTCACTTCGGCTTTGACTCTATTTTTGAATTACTAGTTTCATATAACGTTAATCCGTAGAAAAGAGAATGTAACATTTCTTTTTAATAACAATTATGATTCAATGAGCCAATAAAAACATTTCGATCACTCCTCCCTTTATTAATACCTTTATTAAGTTAATGCATCTAAAGAACCTAAGAAAAAGAACCTAAGAAACGTGAAAACGAATTCAAGGAAATTATCACTCTTATTGCATTGTTTGACTTGTACAAATATTAATCAATAAAGTACAAAAGGATATTTCCAAATTTAAATAATAAATGAAATTCTCGGGTAAGACAAAACAAGAAGAGCAGGTTAGTACAAGAATCTGAAAGAGTAAAATTTGAAAGAGTTATGAACTTATAAAATAAATTTAAATCGAATGATCGAATCTTTCTTAAACCATGAAATCATTTCCATTTCAGTATGAGAAAATAAAATAAAATTTCTTAATGTTGTAAATTTATCTTGTTCTTTGTGAGATGCTTCACATATATATATATATACATATATCATTTTAAATTAACAGTAGTCGGTTATTAAATATCATTTGGCAATCACATTGACTTTATAACCGACATTGAGATATCTGTTATCTAATTAATATAGGGGAGAAAAATACCTTATTCACATCGGCAATAAAATTTGTAAAAAAGGCGTCTTGCATTATTTTTGTTTATGATTGTCGTGAATTTTATACGCTTCTCATCCTTTGGTCCTACCGCAGTAAAAACCTGTCCAATGATTATCTAGAGTCAATGACGAGTTAGTGCAACTTGTACACGATTAACATTCCGAGCTCCGACATTCATTTATTATGGTTACGGAAGGTGATATAACCGAGTCACTGTACATCAAATGGGGATTACGTTCAGAAATAGGACATTGGAGTTTGCGAGCGATATTGAGAATTGAATATCATTTGTAGGGCTATGTAGATCAAGTGAATTAATTAAATGCTAGCTTAGCATTTTCGGGTCATCTTTTAAATTTTAACCATATATGTAAGAATTTTCACGTGACTTTGCAATATAATTTTAATTTTATTAATACTGTTGTTCATTTATGTATTTATTTGTATACAATTTTTTTTATTAATAAGCAGTTGAATATTTATGATGTAAATGTCGTTATTCACTAAAATTAATAATCAGTGTTGCCTCAACATCGGCGCTCTACATTTTATTTTATTAACTCAATCAATGCTAATCACTATAGGAGATTACCTATTAAAATCGAGTTACTAGCAAAGTAAATAATAATAGCAAACTTTCCAAATGCTAATTAATTAAACTACGTCAAATAATAATCGGAAAAATAAATAAATGAAGAACATTAAAACAACTAAATTAACGAAGTTAAAGCATAAATTATAGTCTTTTAACAATTACGAAAGCGATAATATCGCAAAGGAAAAAAAAAAGGAATTAAGGTTTATGTATAAAAAGGAAGACAAACTTTGCTAAAGAACTTGAAAAACTTAAATTCCAAGAAAAACCAGCATATATATTTAGAACGACTTGGCATCCTAACAATATGGTATCCTAACGATATGATATCCTAAAAAAATGATGGTATCCTAACAAATTGATCTTCAAAGGCTAACCCAATTTATCAAAGGAGATACGAGTAAATACATTCTTTTCTTTGTTTCATTCTCTTTTTACTTCCATTTGAGTACGGAAAATACTCACCTTCCGATTATAATTAATGAACCGAAAATGCTAATGTGCGTGACCTTATTACTATGGAATGTAATGTCACTCTGTTCCACCGATCGATGGAATGAATGAATTTCATTTTTTGATACCCAGTTTATACAAATATTCAGTGTAATAGTATATCGTCATAATAATTAAATAGATATTATGTCAGTGACTGATATGAAGAAAACCGTCAAGTCACCAATTATTTGCTTTGAATAACGTACGATACGTCCTTTAACAAATAGAAATTCGACATTTTTAACATCTACATTTTGAATTAGTTTTAATTAATATTGACTAAAGGATTTGAAAATCTAATATAAAAAAGAAACTCGAGTAATAAATTATCCGGTCCGGTTAACAAAATAGATCATCTGTAAATTGTAATACCGAAATCGATCCCGATTATCAATAATTATTGACCGTGTACCATTTATCTGTAATAATCCGTTAATTTTACAATTATACATGTTATATCGTTATTTGTTCTATTATACACTACTAACGAAATGATTACAGCATATTCGTTTCCAAATATAAATACATGAAAAAACTTTCATTGATTATTGTCTACCTTTTTTTAAAAAAAAATTTCCAATAATAATAAATATATAAATGTCTTCGAACAGCCTTTTAAACATCACCACGCGCATTAATGGTGGAATACGACCTTCAGTACAAGCACAGCGTCGACGTCGAAGACGACAAGGTAGAATATCTCAGAGACGCGATCAACTCATCAATATTCAAAGCACGTTAGATCTAATCGCCAACCTTCCAACATATATGAATTTTTTAATGGATCATTGTCTTTCAAAACAAGCTCCTTTGAAAGAGAAAATATTTGAAGATATGAAGTCACGGTATCATATATTTATTTCACATCTATCGGCGGAATAAAAATTTCAGAGCACTATTATGATATTATGTAATTTTTAAGATAGTTCTACGAATCAATTTCCATTAATATACGTCTTAATATATGCATTTAAGATTAGTATCTTGTAAGTTATTACTTTATATCAACAAAGTGACCGGGATAAAGTTTGAGTTGATATTTAAGGCAAAGTTAGCTTAAATTAAGAAACAATTCTCATTTGTATTCCATTTAATCATCAAATTTTTAGGATGATATTGTTAGGTGTCAAATAAATGATTGGTTCAGTAGTTTATTATGTTTACTAATTTGAGAATGCCGATCATTCCACCATAAAAGGTAATACTCTCGTTTTGTTGACCACGACCTTTCTTCCACAAATAATAAATGCTTTGTTATCTACATTAAAAGAAATAAATAAGCGTCACTGAAATAAATATTATCATTTGCCACATTCAAATGTCACATCACATTATTTTCATTGTTTTGAAATCACATTATAAATATTATCATAAATATCACATTAAATGGTAATTCACGTTATTACTTGATTCATTCGGAAAATCTAACGTAAATTAGGATAATTATTGATCGTACATTCTTTTCTTTTCGCCATAATTTAAATTGTTTGTTTTACGTAATCTTTATTATAATTCGAATTATCTACGGCTAAATAAAATAAAAATGTTTTTCTTTAAAAAAATCCAAATAAAAAACCAAAAAAAGCAATTTAAGCGTATTTATACTTTAGGAAATCAAATCAAAGAAGGTGGAACACTAGAAGACAGTAAAAATTATCACAAAAACAATCCAGCAAACCTCCTACACTAATTTATATGAACTTTTTTATGGGTTTTCGTTTATTTAAAAAAAGTTTGCAAATAAAATTGACACTTGAACAAAAAAAAAATATTCTTAATAACTTTATTTAATCTTCGTTTAGGAGACATTCTTTCGTTGTCAAGACATTAATTCAATATTACTGTTATTAAATAAAACAACAGAATAATTGTTGGCATTTTGTGTGACTTCAAATCTGTATTGTGTAAAAACTAAAGATTTAAAATATCCAATTAAAGAAACAAAAATTAATAATTCGTTTTAAAGTGTTTTTGTAGGACATGCATATCAAAAAGGAATGCAATACCAAACGATCAAAATTAATTAACCCTTTATGTAATAAACGTTACATAGTTTGTTTCAATTCGACCAAATTTTACACGAATTAGGAGAAAGTTACGCCCTTGTTGACGAATTGCAGATCTTTTAAACCAAAAATGTAGAATTAAAATGAAAATCCATTGATTGTAAAATAATCTTTTTTTTTTTTGGTCTCTCTTTTGCGAAATTTTTTATTATCGTCATGTCTTATAATGTTGATAAAAAGTCAAGCGAATACATTAATTGGATTGAAAAATCTATCAAAGAGGAGCACATTAATTTGTTTCATTATGATAAATTTCGTAATATTAAGAAAATTGGCTCCGGAGCATTTGGAATGGTATATAGTGCAAATTATAAAAATAATAAAGAACAACTTTTAGCATTGAAGTCATTTTTCAATCTCAACGACGTTACTGAGAAAGAAATTGTTCGTGAGGTGGTTACATATTCAAGTTTTGCTCTTTGAATTTGCATTATTACTTTATTATTAATTAATTTAAACTTAAATTAAATTAGCTTAAACTTCAACGCGGAGTACATTTTCATGATAATATCATTCGTTTCCATGGTGTAACAAAACCAGAAGGTGGATCAAGTACGAATTCATTATTTTATTTATTTTATTAAGTTACACGTCATATAAAATTGCGATTTAATGAGATCAATTATCTCTTTTATAATTGGAAAATCAAAATGATCGATTGAATAGCGTATTGGTTAGTAATGGAATATGCTAATGATGGTACTCTACAAAACTATTTGAAGAAAAATTTCGATCGGCTTACTTGGGAAGATAAATACGCATTGGCAAATCAATTGGCCGGCGCTGTCTTATGTCTACACGAAGAGGGAATTGTGCATCGTGACTTGGTAATTCTCTTGCTTTGGTATATGATATTACTTGTTCGATATAATATTTGTAATTAATTGTTCTATTTGATATTTTTGGGTAGCACTCCAATAATATACTAGTTCATTCAAATCAAATCAAGCTGTCCGACTTTGGATTATCAAAAAGAATCGAAGCATCTTTCAACGTTCAATCAAAAGTATTTGGTGTTATTCCTTATATTGATCCAAAAAAGTTCAAACCACAAAACTATACGTTAGATAAAAGGAGTGACGTTTATAGTGTTGGTGTATTGCTTTGGGAGATATCAAGCGGGCATCCCCCATTTTATTCAGAGGGTAATCAATATGAAATCGGTTTGGCTCTGGAAATTCTAGGAGGTCTTAGAGAAAAAACTGTTCCTGATACTCCTGTTGATTACGCTAAACTTTATATTGGTAAAAATATGTTTACAATTTTATTTTATATGGTATGGTAGAAGATTTCGAATTTTTTTAATAGTTCGTTCATATTCATATGTTTACTTTTTTCCTTTTTTAGAATGCTGGGATAGTGAACCAGAAAATCGACCTTTTATGAATGAAGTCGTTGACAGGTTAGGTATGACCTCACAACCGAATCAAGAAATAATTGATCAATCATCATCGACAAATGGGCATATATCGATTGACGGTCGGTCACAAGGAGATTTGAGTAAATTGATGAATGAATTTGTTGAAATGAATACCGTCAATTTAGCTAAATATAATAACGAAGAAATGACATCTAAAAGGATTTCATCTGATAACGAGGAAATATCATCTAAAAGGGACGAATTAATTTCATCTGATAACGAGGAATTATCATCTAAAAGGGACGAATTAATTTCATCTGATAACAAGGAATTATCGTCTAAAAAGGATTTAAGTGAGAAAATTGAGGACATTGTAAAATTTATTTCAAAGGAACTAAATGAGGGTAAAATTTTTACAATGGATGAAAAGCCAGTCCTTACTTTTCTAGACAATAAAAGTTTTGATAAACACGAGATTTATAAATGGATTTCAAATAATCAAAATGATTCAAATAATCTTTTTCTATTCGGATATTTTAATTTCTTTGGAATCATATCAAATAAAGATTATGAAAAGGCATTTGATTCCTTTTTTAAAGCTTCAGATCAAAATCATACGCTAGCACAATGTTATGTTGGAAAATGTTATGAAAAAGGGTACGGCGTTGCAAAAGACAAAAAGTTGGCCTTCGATAATTATAAAAAAATTGCAGAAAAGGATTTTACACCGGGGCAAATAAATATTGGATATTGTTATAAAAATGGAATAGGCGTTAATAAGAATCTGAAAGATGCTTTTCGTTGGTATAAAATGGCTGCAGATAATGGAAATATACATGCTATATATAATCTTGGTAATTCTTATAAAAATGGAATAGGCGTTGAAAAAAATCATGAAAAAGCTTTTGAGTTTTTAAAAATATCCGCTGAACAAGGAAACCATTTCGCTCAAGATGAACTTGCCATTCTATATGAAAATGGAGTTGGAATTAACAAAGATATAGACCAAGCAATTTATTGGTATGAAAAATCTGCTGAACAAGACAATCCAGACGCGAAAAATAAATTGAAAAAACTTTTAAAAACTAATAATAAAAAGGCTGATTGTTGTAAAATCAATTAAAATTATTTATTAAATCATTACTATCATATATTTTTATTTTAGCTCATATTATATTTAGTCTTTATGTTACACAATCATAGTCATTTCAATAAATTCAACTTCACGTATAATGTATTTATATAAAACACTTTTAAAGTAATTTTTATAGATTTGATATTACCCATTATTATTTTTTTGCGAAATAAAAACATACGCTTTATAATTTTTATTATTTAATGCGTCATTAACGTGTTTTCTTGTATAAAATCTTTATTTGGTCATCATTCTGCCTAACTAATGCTTCTTATAGAATTATGAGATATTGTAATGGACTGAAATAGAAGAATTACATTTTTTTTTTTTTTAAAGAATAGTTCGCTATAGTTTCTCAAGATTAGTTTTTGTCTCTGTCGGATTAAGAAAGTCAACTTAGATAGGTTCGAAATCTTTAGAAATCTGCAGATGTATTGTTATATGATACGCGACAATAATATTTAACTTTCATTTTTTATAGATAAAAAATTTTAAAAAATTACATTCAAATTTTTTTAAAGGAAAAGAAATAAACTCAAAGTAAGAAATTTACTTTAAAAAATATAAAATACGTGCAGCAATTTCCAGTGACGCAGCTGTAGTACAAAAAGGTATCAGAGTTATTTAATTTCTTAATCACTCGCGTCCCAATCCTTGGTGTTGATTCTTCTATGTTTTCTATTAGATAATATGTCAATGTGCAAACAAAATGTGACAAATGCTTTTATAATAAAGAACAATTGGTAAAAAATATATTGAACGTAAATAATACGGAACCTTTGCAATAGAAAGGGCGGAAAAAATTAATTTTACTTTTATATGCCAAATATGACTTTTAGGTCAAAATATGTTTAGATTTAGCATTAACTCATTTTTATTATTTCTGACTTTTCTATTGCAAAGTCCCATACATTATTTTAATGATGATTCATTATAATAAAAATTTTGTATCAATTTTTTTTTGCTTTAGATTTTATTTTGATAAAACGTCCTGTTGCATATTATCTACTGTTAGATTGGTCTTCGAAACTAAAATTAAAGGCTAAAATCAAAAACTATTTTATTATAAATTTGATTTAAGATTCTAAAAATCTTTAATTCTGGCAGAAATATAATTTTTGGCCTAAATTTAGATATTCACTAAAAAATGCATGAGTTATTACAATAAAATATAAACTTCATTTCTTTATTGATAACTTTAAACTATTTATTGAATTTTACATTTTCGAATATCCCTTACTTTAATCTCCAATTTCTTAATTTTGTAATATTTATTTAAATTACTAAGTTCCAAATAGTACTTTTTCAAATTCTGATTAAGTGCATTATTCTAAATTCTAATTTGCTAAATAGATAGTATTTTCAAATATTATTTTTGAATCTTTGATTTTTAAAACAATACTTTTTTAAATTTATTAGAAATTATGTAAATAAAGATGAAATTTTACAATTAATATTACTTAATTACAGTGATAGCAAATGATCAGGTTATTTGGCAATTTTGAAATGACCTCAAATAACCTGTCTGATTATTTGAGGTCATTTGTTATTTGGTCATTTAAATGTAATACAGGCCAAATTTTATAATGACTCAAAATGACTGGTCATGTGTTATTTGGTTATTTTAACACTAAATGAAAATTAACTAGATCATTTAAAAATTACATATTGAGATCATTTGGATCACTTGTTATCATTGCTTAATTATATATTTAAAATTTAAAATCAAAGAAATTGTAGTTCAAAAAATTAAATATTATAAAAATTGGTTATAAAAAAATAAAAATTGATTAATAAAATTATTATTTTATATAATTTTTTTTATTTATTATAATACAATTTTATAGAATTATTTATTAAAATTTTTATTAATAAAAAAGATACTTTAATAAATATATAATATAAATTTATTAAAAAATTTTAAAATGAATAATTTTTTAGTAAATATAAAAATATATAAATACAAATTATATGATATATATAAATTTATGTAAAATTATATTTAGTTTAAGATTAGTTAACAATTTATCAAACCATATTATACTAACTATATTTTATTTTTACTAATTAATCTAGAAACCTGAAAATTTTTTGCTAAAAATATTATTTGTTATTCTCTTATATATAACATTATATTTAATACCTATTTATAATTAGAAATTATCTTTAAAATATTATAAAAAATTAAAATAATTAAATAAATTATTATATAAAATTAAATTTTTAATAAAATAATTAAAATTTTTAAAATTTGATAATTTAATCAATATTATTTTAATATTATAAAAATATTAAATTCACTTAATAAATATAAAACATTAATTTTAATTATTAAATTAAATTAAATATATACATTGGTTTTAATTAATTTTGATAATATCAATATTAATTATGTCAATTTGACATTTATTATAAAATAATTATATTTGTTAAAATACAATTTAATTAATTATTTATCAATTTTCAATAAAGTATAATTATCTTTATAATAAATTATTTTGATTAATATTTATATAAAAATATACCATTATATATTAAAATATTTATATTTGAATATTTAATAATTCTAAATTATATATAATTAATCATCTAATATAATATTATTTTAACTATTTTAATTTTAATCATAATTTTAATTAATAATAAATATTATTATTAAATAATTAATTCTTAAATTTTCTAATAAATATATAGCTTATGTATTTAAAAAAAAGTAATAATTTCTTAATAAATAATTATTAATATTATAATAAATATATAAAAAACTATAATTTAATATTTATTTATAAATTTTATCTTAAATATATTAAGAAGTTTTTAAAATAATTCAATTTTAAAATTAAAGTTTTAAAATTTTTTTTAAAATTTATATACTTATTAATTAATTAAATTATTTATTATGATAAAATTTCTTAATAATTATAAAAATAATAATAATTAAAGTTATTTTTTATAATAATATATTATAATTAAATAAATTTTAATAAGATTATTAAGATTAATAATAAAATTATTTAGTAAATATTTTTTAAATATTAATTTTTTCTTATAAATAATTTAGATTTTAATATAAATAAAAAATAAAATTATAAAAAAATTTCATAAAAATTAATTGAAAAAGAATTTATAATAAATAAGATGATAAATTTATTTATAAAAAAAATTATTTCTTTTAAAATTTTTAAAATGTAAAACTTATAAATATTAATATTAAAAATAAATATAATAAATTCAAATTTATTTAATTATATTAAATAATCATTAGTAATAAAATAAAGTAATTATATTTAATTAAAAATTGATACTTTTTTTTTATTTATAAATTAAATAAATTTAAGAAATAGTATTATTAACTCTAATAAAATTTTATTTTTAATAATTTATATAAAAAATTAAATAAAATTTTAAAATTTTTATTTCAAGCTTAGTTTATTTATATGTTTTTGACCAATCAAATGACTTAATAAAAGAAAATTTTAGATTTCTTTTTTTATTAACTATTATTTATATTACTAAAATTTTCAACTTTAATAATATAATTTTTTATAAAAAAAAATAAAAATTTAAAACTTTTAATTTTAATTTAATATAAAAAATTAATTAATATAAATTTTATTTTACATTTTTGTGTAATTAAAAAAAAACTTTTTTTCTTGACATAATATCAGAGATCTTTAAATAAAAATTTTGTGTTTTGATGACAAAAATTATTTATATTATTATAATTTTATAAATATCTTTAAAACATATAATAGTTTAATATCTCAAATATGTGACTAGTATATAGGTATTTTGCAGTAGAAAGAGAGAAAACTACTAAAAAAATTTTATTTTTTTAAGTAAGATAAATTCAAATTTAACATTAACTCAAAAAAATTTTTTGGTAGTTTTCTCTCTTTCTACTATAAAATGTTTATATTTAGTTTAGTTAACATAGTTCAAATATGATATATAAAATTTTACTATATAATTTTAGTATATCTAGTATAATTAATTATAAAAAATCAGTTTTACATCACATAATTTGATATAATGAGTTTTAGTATAAATAGATTCATTATAATCAATGATGACTATATTATTATAAAAATTATTTAAATGTAAATTTATATAAAATTATAAAGTTTATAAGTTATATATAAAACTATATTTTATAAGATCATATAGATTTTAATTAATAAAAATTTTATATGAAGCTAAACTTATAAAAATTATTAAATATAATATTATAATATAAATTTAAATTTTATATTTTATATTTTATTATTTATATTAATATTTTTAAAATAATAATTTTATTAAAATATTTGATTTATATTTTATATTAAGCAACTAATTTTTAATTAGTCTTTTTTATTTGATTTTATCTATAATTTGAAAGTGTGTATGTCAAGAAAGAAAAAAATTAAGAATAGATCTGTTCTTAATTTTCTCTTTCATTGACATACACACTATATCATATTATATTTTTAATAATATTTATTAGAAATATTTTATTATACTTTTTTAATATTAGTTAAATTTGATAAATTAAAATTATTTTTTTTTATATTTAATTTTTCAAAATAATTTATAGATTTATAAATGAATTAAAAAAAAATGAAATATATATAAATAATTTTTAAATAAACTAATTTATAAAAGAATATAAGATCTTTGCAATAAAAAAAAGAAACTATTGAAAAACTTAATTTTACTTTATAAATTAAATATATTTTTTAAATCAAAATATGTTTAAATTTAATATTATAATTTTTCTTTTTTTATTGCAAAATCAATCTAAAATAAATTTTTAAATATATAATTTTATAGTTAATAATATTTTTATAAGTTAGATTTTATATTAATAATAATACAAATAAAAAATTATTTAATTTTATTATATATAATTTATTAAATTAAATATATTAATTTATGATTTTTATTTAATTATAATTTTAATATGATAAAATTTATACAAATTTACCTTTATTTTTATTAATAATATTGAAGACTTGTATTAAATAAATTAATTTTTAACCTAATTTTATAAATATTCAAATTAATGACTTATCTATTTTTTTGAATTTATTAAATTTAACAATATATAAATAATAAATTTTTTTTATTATTAATTTAAATCATTTATTAATTTATTAAAAAAAGTAAATAAATAAAAATATTAATATAATTTATTTAAATATTAAATTATCTTTATAATTTATATTTAATAGTTAAAATAATAAATTTATAATTGTTATTACATTAATAATAATATATAATTCTTTTATTAGTTTTTAATTATTTACATTAATTTTAAAGGATAATAGTAAATTATTATTATTAATAATAAATAATAATTTTATAGTTATATTATGATTTTTTTATAATTTAAAATAATTAAAAATAAGTTAATTTTAATTAATATTATTTCAAATTTAATAAAATATCTATCAATTTAATTCTTTAATTAATTAATTTTTTAAATAAATTATAATAATAATAATCATCACTATATAATTTATATTAAATAATATATTAATTATTAAAATAAAATCAAATAATTAAATTAATTTATAAAAATTAATTTACTATTTTTTTGAAATATATCAAATTTTTAATTTTAATATATTAATAGTAATCTAATAAATTTAATTTATTTTTGATTACAATTTTAATTTTTAAAATTTATATTTAAATATTATTATTAAATATAAATATAAATTTATTTATTTTATTTTAAATTATAATTAACTAGATTAATTAATATTAGTCAATTAAATTTTTTAAAATCAATATTAGCATAAAAACTTCAAGTTTATATGCATACTGCATTATTACTGATCATTGCCTAGTAAATATTTAAAAGTTTTATAATTTATTTTTGTTATAAATTATAATACTTTCATCTGAAAATTTATATAAAATAATTGCTAAAAAAAAATCAAGTTCTGAAAAAGTTTTAAATTAAAATTAAGATAATTTTGCATTTTAATCTAATGCAATAAATTCTCAATTTTTATATAAAACTACTTGGAATATAATTTTCTAGCAATCATTTCATATAAACTAACATAAGATTAATACAAATTATATATTATAATCTTATTTAAGTTTATACATATATAATCTTATAATTTATAATTTTACTTAACTTTTTTTTTTTTAATTAAGATATACTATTGGAAAAAATTTTTATAAATTTAATATTACGTGATCAAAAAATTTTTTTTCACAGATCGGTTAATTGACTTACCCAAACCGAACCCTCAAATATTTGATTTAATAAATTCCAGGTCAAGTGTTAAACCTTATGACCTGACCCCGAATTTTCGGTTTCGGTAGATACCGTAATAATTATAATTAAATACCTGTATTTCTATTTTACTAATATTAATGTTAATGTTAATTTAAATATAATAATGTAATAATGACATACTATTAAATTACTAATGAAGCCCATATACCATATTTGAAATATTAATAAGGATTAAAAAATATTAAATATTAAATATTAAAATATTTTAAATATATATAAGGATAAATGAAGAAATAAATAAAACCAAAAAAAGAACATTTGCATATATAATTGATCTAAATTCAATCATACGATCATAAATTTTTTTTTTTTTTTTTTTTCTTTTCTTTTCTTTTCTTTTTTGTTTGCTTAACCACACTTTATTTTATGTTATAGCATATTTTTGTAAAAAATCTTAGAATCTATATGTTTTATTCATATGTAAAATAAATATCTTATTGTTTTTAAAATGGAGAATTACTGTACACGAATTGAATGACGAAGTTAATATACAAAATCCGATGAAATTAAGTCTAATTTAAAATAAAAATATAAAAAATCTATAAAAACGTTTTATCGATATAAATGTCGCAAAAAAAAAGAGATTATTTCTTTCTCAATTAAAAGTCCCGAAGTGATGAAACGTAGAATACACAAAATAATGTAATCAATAATCACGATCTGGAATAATAGATTGGGTAAATTGAGGAATGGTACTCCAATCTGCTGGTATTTCTGTTGATATTGCGAAATCAGCAGGTTCATAATATGATAAGGGGCTGACAGGTGGTGTTAATGTTGTCGTTGGAGTTAAAAATTGAGATTGTAATTGTATTTGATTTTGCATTCCAAATCTTTCAAATAGCTCGATACTTATTTGATTAGATAGATT